TTTACGTGGTCAGGTCCTTTCACCATCTTATGCAATACTTTATTTTTCACTTTGCGAGTAACCCTGGATATTTCTGTCCGCTCCACCGAATCAGCTATTGTACCAGCGCGCCATGAAAGATGCACGTCTCTCCCTCTCTCCCTCTCTCTCTTTCCCAAAACACTCCCAAGCGGCTTTGGATGTTAGTAGTAGTGTGTGTGTGTGTGTGTGTGTGTGTGTGTGTGCTGGATACTACTACTTCTGCTTACATATCCCCAAAATAGGAAACTGTTGAAGTGTGAAGTAAAACAGAAAAGGACTCTTCAGTAGAGGAGCAACTGACACGAGGTGAGTCACTTTCTCACACACACACACACACACACACACACACACACACACACACGTGCATACAGTATACAAATGCAAATAACGCACACAAATAATTGTGAAACTGCCTCCTGTGAGTGTGCGCGTGTCGAGGCAGGAATCACGGGTTCCTGTCACGCTTTTTGTTGTTTCATTCATTTCCACAAACTACAGCGAAAAGATGTCGCGCGTGTGTGTGTGTGTGTGTGTGTGTGTGTGTGTGTGTGTGTGTGTGTGTGGGTCTGGCTTGAGGTGCATCCACACAGCTCCTCTGTGGGCCACCGTAGTATCTGAGAACGTAACATGGGGAACAAGGGAAATGTAAAGGTCAACGAGGGCAATGTGCATTTATTGTCGGAATCTGTTGTGCGTTTGTGAAGGGGTTTTTCATAGTGAGGCAAAGTCGCACCTCCAGTGTCTTCCAGGGGATTTCTGAAACCAAAAACCAAAAAATACATGGTAAAAATACATGGTGATTGTTTTATGTTGAATGGATCATGCATCTTCATTTTAATTTAAGAGCCACTATCGCACATCGAGGAAGTCGCCCTTTGCCTCACTGTCGTGTAGATTCGTGTAAAACTAGATCTCTCGCCGGGCGCAACCCACGTCGCCGACGGATGCACAGATTCCACCTGATCTCGCCCGACGTGTTTCAACCGGCGACGGCTTTCGTCAGGAAAAGGGGCGAGCAAGACTTCCACGACTATGGGCCCTTTTTCACGGTAAAAACAGGTGATTACGATCAAAATGGCCCCGTTCCATTTAGATGGCGTGTGGCGCGTGCTGCCTCACTGCATGACCGCATGAGTGGCTATTAAACAGAACGGAACCATAATTCATTTAATCATTCACACCTACTCATGCCCTGCTATGACGTGTCAGCTTTTCTCAGCGCGTGTTTTTCCTCAGCCTCGTTTTTTTTTTTTCGTGGCACGATTCGAAACGAGATCCCGAAAATGAATGTGTCTCTCTCCACGTCCACGAGGTCCCGCCATGGTCCGTCAGAGGAGACCCGAAAGGACCAACTCAGACCTTTGATCGCTAAACAAACCTTGACTCTGCGAGTAATGTTTTTTGTTTTTTTCTTCTTCTCCCAGTTCTATTTGCATCACTGATTATAGGATGTTGTAGTGTGAATGCAGAAGTGAGAACGGGAGAGAGAGAAGGAGAGAGAGGAAATGATACCAGGGCGTTCAGCCAGTAGCGTGCCTGATGATCACAAGAGCACACACACACACACACACACACACACACATGTTCACACACACTCGCACACAACATGTGATCTCTTGATTAGTGCTGTAGTCACACCCTCCCACTCCTTCTGCTCGTTCGATCACAATCTCCCTCCTCCTCCACGGCTCCAGTCAAACTGAAACTCACACAATGAAAATGCTTGACTTGAAATCAGCGATGACCCTTGTTGAAATAAAGGTGTACGGTGGCTGCTTATGGATGTTTAGTAGAAGTCTTTGTCCTACCGAACCAAAACAAATCTCTCTTTAAGCGTAAAAATGACACGCGTTTGAGGTGACTCGAATTCTTAAGATTGAACGACTTACGACAGTTGATGAAAGAGAATCAAATCCATAACTTTTGCTCTTTTGAGTTTGAATCCTTATGGTTGAATGTACTTAGCGTCAGCTAAATGACACGTAGTGTAATGAGGCTTATGAGGCATTCATTAAGCTGCAAATATGGCTTTGAATGTAATAAATATCCATATGTCCATCCATCCATCTGAGGATGCCTGTCAATTATAGGAATATAAGAAAAGATATTTCAAACTTCAAGTGCGAGCACCTTATCTGACTTTCTACTGGATCTCAGTTGAAAGTTCTTCACCCTAACTTGATGAGTTAACAATGAGTACAGACAAAACCAAGCGTGGCAACTATAATGATAATTCTGATGTAATTAATAGTAATAATTATTATTATTATTAATGTGAGTAAGACATGAATGAGGATAATTGCCTGATCCAGCGGGGAGGACTGCGATCGCTGGCAAACAAACAGACGCCGCAGGTCACAGAATCAATACCAGCTTTTGACCTGCAGAGAGATCCCAGCCGTGCAAGCTGCTCATGGCCTGGCCTGGCTTGGCTTGGCCTGGCTTGGCTCGGCTAGGCGTGGACTGGCCATGACTCAACATGCTTTGCTCACGATGACGAGGGGAAAACAACAGTGAGAGAACTCGCGCCGAAGGTGTGGCATCAAAGTAAATACCTGCCAGATAGAAACTGAGACGTCAATAAGACGACGGTTTGATTCTACTCTGATGAACGCAAACTAATGTAAAGGAGAAACTGCTCAGAAACTGACTGCCAGGTCACTTGTGATGGGAACTGATGCAGCACAGTATCAAGCACATGACATACTGCAATACACACGCACAGAGGACATTCCCATACCTCGAGTGGTTTCACAATAAAATGTGCTTTGTGGTTTTTACGCTGGAGAGAAAAGCACATGATGCCGCAGCATGCAGATCATGACCAAGTGATTAAGAATAAAAGAGAAGTGACTCCTTATGACTGCGGCAGAAATCATCAACGTGCCAAACATCCGACCAGCTGGTGTCACGCTTCACTTGTCAGCGACGTCTCAATGCTCAGTGGCGGCCACCACTCGTCCCCCTCACCTTTTGCCGTCCGCGCGGGGCGGTGCGGCCATAAATATACTCACACTCTTGGCTTTTTCCAGGTATTTCTTGTATCTCTCCTCCATCTGCTTCATCTCTTCATCTTTCTTCTTGAGGGCGTCTTCCAGCTCCTCCACTAGTTGGGCTGAGAGGCAACAACATGAAACTTTACTTATTTATTTTTTAAGCCTTTTTGCTATGAGTAAACATTGACGAAATACAGGCTGTCTTGGTGATTCTGTAGCAGTTCTTCATATATTAAGATAAGAACAGCTGGGCGGAGAGGATGGCGGTCAACGGGCCTCAGCTGCACTTCGCACATTCAGAATCCAAACTCACAGCTTGCGTTGTATTTGGGCTCCATTTCATCGATGAAAGCGTTCTTCTTCAATAACTCATTGTTCAGCTCGCGTAGCTTCTCCCTGATGGAGGGAACAAAAGCACCAACGTCAACACTGTTTTTCCGCCTCAGCTCAAATATCTCACAGCAAGCATCCCGGAGGAGGATATTTGAAATGTATTCCAATCAACAAGTGTTTATTTGTTATCATATTTCTAGGTTTTTAAAAAACGGGAACTCACATGTGCTCCTCGTATTTCTTCTTCAGGATAGAAGACTGAATCAACAAAAATAAGATAGAGATAAAATAAGGTTATATTCCAACACGCACAACCTGCAG